AGAAGATGGACACGGCCCAGCTTTCTGTAACAGGTTGCAAAGGACCCAGTAGGCAACCCTACCTGCATTTTACAATCAAATCCAATGTGTGATCAAAGGACCATGCTCTTTACATACAGAGAAACAGGTGAAAAAGACTTAGGAAATTCACATAAACGTTCAGCATCAAACTAGTATTGTATGTGATGGAAGGGGGTCGCAAAAAGTAGAGTTTACCAAGATTACTGCAATCACCTGCTTACAAAAACTAGTTATGCTCAATTCAATAACAGCAGTTCGAATGCGTGGAACCAGGACCTGTTATTACGAGGCTGAGAAAAGTAAAACACAGTAAAATTGCCAAATGAGGGCACTTTTTCTTGGCACTGCTGCAGGAGCTGTGCAAGAGGATCTGACTTGGTTTTCTGCCCGAGCTACACCTAAGTTTCTGCATACCTGCTTTCACACATGCCTGTAATACCAGATGCTCTGGGAAGCATCCTCTGAAGGCTTTTAAGGCAGGAGCATGAGAACCCACCTGCTCCTTTCAGCCCAGACATGCTGGTATGCCCAGACAAGGACAACCCTATCACATTCTCTGCTCTAGGGCAGGAACACTACCCTGGGAAGCTGTGAGCCACGACAACTGGCTGGCACCACGCTAGGTGCTGTGGGCATACTGATTTGCAGGTACCACTCTGCAAACATGAAGTTGAAAACATCTTTGCTCCCTTGACAGATCTACCACTCCTTCCTCTAGCTCCCATTGTGTCCACTGGTTGCCCATCTGAGCAACCACAGACTTGGAAACTGCACGTAAATGAACATTTTATGGCTTGGACTGTTACCTTTCTAGTTTTTCAGTTATGAAACAGATCTGCCAAACCACTTCAGTCTTTTCTGGTGTTTAATTTAAGAACTATGCCCAAGAGTAAACTAGAAACAACTACACAAGCAGCTTTTCCCCCAGAGGCCAAGTCTATCACTTTACCATGCTCCTACAGTTGTAACATTGTCGCTTTTTTAATTGAATGCAGTATAATTAGCTGTAACAAAAAAGTTTGTGAAATGCCCAGGGCCTGGGGCCCTCTGATTCCCATAAACTTCAGAGTTGGATGCTCTGCAATACAATAAGCAATTTCCTTCATCTTTTAATGCCCTCATGAATCATTTACTGAGGCAGGCTTTTACAACAAAACCCCTTGTAAAACCCCGCACCAGCAGTCGTCGCACTTGGGCATAGACTTCACCGCTCGCAAAGCAACACACGCTCGGCAGCCGCTTCCTCGTTTCAGTTACCTGCCTCTTCCTCTCCTCTTACACAGAAAAATAAGGACTCATCTTCCAAGACTAACCATGTCCTTCCATTTTTCAGATATGCAGCAAAGCAAGAAAAAAAGAAAGTGGAAAACCGGAATGGTTTAGCCCTTTAAAATTGCACCCAGTTCTTCCTCTGTCAAGAATTCGGTTATCTTTTTAGTCTCCTAAGAGTTGTAACACAAATGAAATGGTTGATGAGGTTTTGTTGTCTGTTTTTGTTGTTTGGTTGTTTTTTTTTTAACCGGAGGGATCTTGTAAAATTTTCTAATGCCAACTCAGAAAATAATTTAAAATGTTCTAATTGAGCATTTTAACTGGGACATAAAACAAACTGCTGAAGAGTAAAATACCCTTTTCAACACTCTCAAAAATATCTCAACAGTTCAACTGTCCTGGGAGCTTCAACCTACTGAGCAGTCTCTGTTGCTGCAACAATATGACACAGGAAGGTTGAAGGAACAAAATTTCCTATTTCCTCTCTTGATTCTTCTCCATGGCCTCTGTGTCGGCCGTAAGAGCCGACCCAGAGCAGCACCACCACCACCACCAAGCTCGGACAGAAGGCACAGGGAAGGACACTGCAATGCTATGAATGTTAAAGACATTAAAGCAACCATAAATACGAGCAGGAAACAGAGATTTCACAATAGTCACAGGAAGGAGAGACTCTTGTTAAGCAGGATCCGAAAACACCGAGTCCCCAGCTGAAGAGAGCTCAGCATGGGATTTCTGGGATGGTTTCATGTGAGGGCTGGTAAAACTTGTGTTGGTGACTTCTTCTGTGTGTCCCTCTAATAATAAGCCTTCCGTTTGTTCTGCATGGAAACAACTGCTGTTTTCAGTCACCTACAGTACAGATTTTTAAAATTATTTTTCAGAGCTAAAAATTGGAGAAAGAAGAGAAGAGTGAAAATCTTGCAGCAGATTCTTCTTTGATGATAGTAGTCTACTTCATGTACTTACAAACGACAACATTTTATTAGTCAGGTAAAAAAGCCATACATTTAGGAGCAAAGAAAGCAAACGCAGCAGCCTGCAGCACATGCTTCAAAGCACAGGAGGCCTTATAGCCTGGAAAGGAGCAACACTGAAAACAATTTGGGAGCCCTGGCAGAAAGTCAGCGAAACACAAAGGAGATTTACTCTAACTTCGACATACGATACGGTGGTAACTGCTCCCGGAGGACTGGATGTCTCTTTCTTCTCAAAACATGTTCCAGCTTAAGCACGAGCTAACTGCAAAAATTACTGTGCAAATTCCTAAATGCATGGCCTCTTCATGGTCTGAAGCATAGACTTTATGGCCTGAACTAGACTGCAGCCATATGATTATGATGTCTCCTCCAGCCCTCAATCTATTGACCTGGGCATCTATCAAACGGGTGGGTTGTGGGGTTTTTTTTGTTTTGTTTTGTGTGTGGTTTTTATTTTTAATTAGAATTAGCAATGTTCTTGAGAAAGGAACCATTACAATCCCATCATCCGTGGAAACTGTAACATGAGGACAAGTTCTGTTAAACAAATTTCAGATTTTCTTAGAAACTTGTTAATAGGTAAAGAACACTCCCCCCTCCACAGACACAGAAGGACACATTCATTCAAGAAAAACAGAGAATGCAGAATTAAAAGGCTTGTTTCGTAAAATGCCATGAAGTACCAGCACCACCTCAACTCAGTATTATTAAAAAGTCTACTGATGAACTACAGTCATTTTACAGCTCTTGTGGGTTACTCTGGTGCATCAAGACTGTTGCATAATTTATTTCTATGTCTTGAGGCTTGCTCTAAGTGACATAACCAGCCCCCATGCATCAGTCCTTCTACTGGGTTTTACCCTCATATGCTGTGAAAGCCAAGCTACGCATCTCTCTCTGCACTCAGACTGCCCAGGCGTCCCGCAGGGTGCTCCACAGCAGGGATCTCTCCAGAAATCCACCGCAGATTTACTTTGCCCCTGTTTTCTACCCATTCCATCGCCTGTGACAGCATTCCCCAGTCCCTGCACTGCAGACGAGCGTGGGATGAGATTCCGACAGGGAAGCTGCAGTGTCCGAGAAGCTACCAGCACCACAGTGGACAAGCCAAGGCATTGCCTGAGTGGCTCAGTGTGCTGCAGCTGCTTTGGTGGCTCAGTGATTCTTGTCTCTAACAGCTTCTATGTTCAGAAAAAAAGTATTTCTAGTGGGTATTGTCGGACTCGTACAGGGTCTGATGCTGTCAGTACTGCCAGTGCTTTTTGGGCAGCAGCAGCAATCTGGGAGCTCTCAGCCTTTTGGAGTAAAGGCCTGGGGCTCACCAGACCGAGGCTGGTTATACTCGCTGCGCTTTGCTTGCTTTGCCTTTTTTTATTTTCTAAGACTGATCCGGACACTTCTCACAAATCTCCATCTTGCTTTTTGAGTTACTTTCTATCTTCTAAACTTTAACTTGGGACTTGAACTGGAAAAGAAGAGGGAGGCATTTCCCTACCGAGTTTGAGGTTGTTCATACAGCTGGCAAGATAAGTCATATCAAATTTTTCATTTAACATCATTAAGCACAGGATATTAAGGACGAAAATGCCACTTCACTGTTCACAAATGCTGCTGTCGTTAGATAAGCTTCTCTCCAACAGCAGCACGGCAAACAGACTGCTTTACAAAGGTAGGATTGAGGCCAGAGTCCCCGAGTAAAAGAATTTTTGGGCTGACAAATCATAACAGGCTGCAAAAGAAACCTGAAGCAAGCTTTTAAAACTTAAGTCATGAGCTCATGCAGTCCCTAAATAGCTTAACAATAAGCCACTTTGGGCTATCTGGCTTCATTTCCTGGTGATGGAAGCGAGATTGGCAGGGGAAGAACAGCGTACTGCTTTACTGGGCACAGGCACTCAACACTGTATTTCTCTCGGAGCACGGCTACACAATTCAACGCAACTCAAAACTGCACTGCGAGTTGCAGTGCCAAGTCCTGCTCCAGAGTAGGAGACTGCCAAATAAAATACAGTGAAAGAGTCAGCATTCCTTCGTAAATGGATGTACTTGATATGTGGAGGACTCATAGTCCATGTGACTGCTATGTGTTGAGCAGAATCTGGCATCGTGGATGAAAACATTGTTTGCATTTCAATTTGCCCTTTCTAAATGTAGCAGTATTTCTAGTGATGTTAGTTTTGATGTGGAGCACTACTGCACTTAACAGGAGACTTGCAAGAAGCA